AATGTCTGATCATTAGATTCCTTTATGGTAGATATTATATCTTAAGGAGACTCATGCTGAATATGATCCAACCATACTTTTATAAAGTAATTGACCAACTTGAATAGACATTTGAATTCCTTAGTACCGAGAGGACTGTCTTGATCAATCATAGTAAGTAGGACCATTCAGATAGCCTATTGTTCATAAGAAAACAGAGTCTAATCTTCAAAAGATCTTATAGCGTGCTAATAAATTCCCTTAGGAATGGATTATAAATGAAATGAAATCCTATCACCGATGAAAGTCATAATCACCACTGACCACTCATCCTTTTTGTGTGTAATAACTACACTACTTACTAATAATCAGTAACTTATATCGTTGCCGATCATTTTTCGGCATGTGGCTTCACATTACGTTTTCATGAATCTGTGACGTTTATAGAAGCAACACTTTTTTAAGTATTAATGATACTTTTCAAGTGACAAGATGTGATATCGGTGAAGCTAAACGAAGATGGAAGTAGGATACCACCGAATGATGGTAGTACAGTAGTTAAAATTGACTGATTTTAGAAATACAGCTATTAGATACGGGCTGTGGTTAAAAATTGACGGACACGCACAAAGCCTGGTACCGTCGATGGGGTTTTGTCAGAGAACTATTGAGAAGTTTGTTATTTGGATTAATAAGCGGTTCGATACTCATTAACCTTCAACGACACCCAAACCGACTGCGATATATGACAGGAATGAACTAACACCTAAGGCCAAATCACCTATTGAAACACCTTTGTTTGTAACAGATAATTTACGACTCATGAATCTAAGTTTTCATCAGGATTCTAGACCATATTATGGGCCGATTGTGACTGGCTGCTAACTTCTCACTGGTCTTTCCGGAAAACGAATATCTCAATGTTCCTGTCGTGAACTTATTATTTCGTCTTAAGAGGAGAGTTCCTATGATTAATAACCGTTAATTAATAGTGTAAATTAGGTGATCAATATCTTCATATGACATACGTATTAAATTTGTATGATGGCAGTATTTATTTGCTTGGACACATAAATATTGGTACAAAGGGACACCAAATACATATGCCACCCAAGTCACTATATTTGTGTGGGCTATGATACACTGCTCAGATGCCCAGACCGAACAAGGCGGTTTTATTTGGGGAGCCACACTCGGAGCCTTCGGCCTATAGGTCCGATCCAAAAGGCAGTGGAGCAACGTCAGGAGATGCAGTCCTTTGGTAGCTGGTAGCCAACTATGGGCTCATACGATATCGTCCCTCAAAATCCTGGAGCCCATGTACATCATTGGTTTGGAATTAGAGTTATTCAACTTCCCTAGGTGGATCCTCTATATCCACCAACCCGCTTCTCTCTCAGTGTTTGTATGCACGTGGTCATGTGAGAGCATCTCGAGAGAGGGAGCTAACTCTCCCCACCCTCGGCCGTACTAAGGCATTTGGGGGCCAATTTTATAGGAATAGGTTTCAGGTATGAATAGTTGCCCTACCCTAAACGCGTCAATAAGTAAAAAGTATATCCACATGGTAATGATAAATCAAAAGAAACCATCATTTTCTTGTCAACTAGTGTAGCTATATGTGTACACATATTCTCTTCTTATTTAGCTAATTAGACTGCACTATGGGTTTTAAGTGAGAAAGATACTGGGTCACAACATGCTATTCATTAATTTGCACACAGCAGAATCTACTCTGATACAAAAGCATATCAAGAATGGGTGACCTAAATAAGGCAATAATTTGTGAAGAAAAACATCAAGGAACGGCGTTAGAGATGATAAATATATGAACAGAGGTAGTATTTAATGAGTGATAATGTCTTGTTAGACATACAGACCAATCTCTTATGTACAATGCTTACATGTTATAGTGAATCACTGTGTCCATGTATTTTAAACTCATTTGGATGAACTTCCTTCTTCCACCATGAAATCTCCATCTCTACTTATTTACAATTGACTACGCGTCCTGTCCAGGAGCATCACCTCACACAACTTAAGTATAAAGACTGAAATTCATTCATGTAAGCTTGAATTAACTTGAAACTATGTTTACTAGGACATATTCAAAGCTGTTCTTTGTTCGCTTAAGCAACCCGCATACATAAATGATGACACGAGACTATAATTCAAGTCACCTATTTATTAAAAGAACTAGATAAATCAATATCTTTATTGTTCACGATGTATCGTCGGCCAGTTAAGAGGTAGTGCAATGTATGTAACACAAAGTATTTTGTTACCCAGTAAGCCATTTGCAGTATTGTGTGTATACATCCGTTTTGTAGAGACAAGGTATCATAGTAACTACTTAAATAATGATGGTCGGAGGGAGGGTTGATAGCGAAACCCTGAACCACCGAGTTCCAGAATGTGCTGCATGGTACATCTGGTATTATATCAGGATAATACTAAGGGCAATCTAAGACTAGATAATGTCTTCATCGAATACAAGTTCATTAGGATAGCTAGGAGTTAAATTTTTATTTTGCTGGACAACTGCAAGCCCTAATACCGTTGACAGTGACTTCCAAGTATTTATTCAGAAACTAGTTTAGACAGCGACAATCTGTTGACATTGAATATTTTCTTGTCTGCAACCCTTCCCCTTCAAGGCCAATAGGTTTTTTTTAGATAAAATCCCAAGTTGGTAGAAACCTAGTCAAATATAATACGATACTTGGGGTGCAGACTGAATGATCAAATTTGCATTTCTACACTGTATAACTGACAACTCTTTATGAAACTACTTATTGGTCCTAGTAACGTAACACCCAATCATATATATTCAACGAGAAAGCCTGAACTCAATATGAAGGGACACCACTGACTCTACTGATAAAACATTCAAGAAGCTGGTTCAAAAACAATCCTGGCTACAATGACGAATATCACCATTTCATATAGTTTATGTAGTAAGTGTTTGAGTCCATTCAGACAAGCTGAGATGGTTTTTTCATTGTTCTTTAATTTTAAGAATTGTCAGTTAGTGTAGTACACCGGCTTGCAAGCAGTTATCACACAGTCGTATTGCATTACCAAAATATAATATTGAATAAAGCCATTAATAATAATAATAATAATAATTAACCGACTAGTATTTTACTACTCGTTGTTTTTAACTTAAGTCACATTTAAAACAATCAAAACCAATAATAACAATATCAATCGTATTTGTACTAGTGATACTACTGAAGGGGACACGAAACCCTTAGCTGAAACATTAATGAATAACATTTATTCATGGAGATTTATAAACCGTTGGAAAGGTAGCAATACGATGAGATCTGTGATATTTTGGGACCTAAAAATCGAGCATATATTATCTTGCCATTTAGAGGTGACCCAAATAGTCTCATGCTCAAACGAAGACCTAAATTAGCTACTAATAGGACATTTTGTGCAGTCCAGCACATCATTATCAAAAGGTCAAGGTCCGTGCTTCACCGGAGACCCGAACAGCATGTAAGTGATTGTGTAACATCCCATTGTCTATCAATTTACATGTATGCGTAGAAGTATGTACATAGGAAGGAACGGTCGTAAGCCGAAAGTAGGGGTGGCAGAACACATACCTAAGTTTCCACAAACACAAAAGAATCCCAATGACCTAATAAGATCACAGGATAGACAAATATCTTCCCCCACTGAGAAACACTTGATTGAGACAGGTAATAAAGTTGATATCAAGTTAATCTTTGTAGTTTTGTACACTAAGTTTTGTTGAAGCCTTGGTTATACGGAAATTAAAACCCATTTTATGTGTCTAAAAACAATTTGTTTTTATCCTTAACCTACCCTGGTAATACTGACTTATCACACAGCGTGGTTTTCACATTGTTCTCGTGTACTTAATTATTATCATCTTTGTCTCTCCTTACCGTTTGATTTGTCTAGTCGACCTTATATTTCTCATACATGATGTCTTAACAAGTATATGTGTGATCAGATTGTTAGAAACACATTGCACAAATGTATCACGTAATTCTGATAACCTTCGTCTTTTCATAGCAATATCCAAATTCATAGAATACATGTACCTCAATGATCTAGTTGAGATCCCTCCGATAGTGTGGGTTAAACTGGTTATAAAAGTCATTATATAACGGACCAACTTTTTGATACAATTTTTAACCGGAAATTTAGTGATTAAAAGTTAATTGTCTAAAGTGCAGAACAGTAATTTGCACTGAGGGTCATTATAATATTGGGACGATCAATTAGCCTCCAGCATAAGCTCATGAGCAAATGTACGTTCTAAATATATAGTCAGAAGTCGGACAGGCTAACAATTCATAATTTTATGTAACATATTCTTATCACTCACATTTGGTACAATTAGTGAATTATTAGACAAGTTATCATTTTTCATGATCAATGTGCATCTACACGAATACGTGGAGAATCGAGTTAAATAAAGGTACAGTGAGGCTGAGGATACCTACCAACTAAAATCGATACATGACATTTAGAACATGAAAATCCACAGTCACAAAATATCCCTCGAAAGAGACAGCTTGAAGTGTACTTTAATAAAATATCCAACTAAAATTAGCACCAGGTTGACCCCTAAAAACGCGACGAATATGATGGATTAGGAGAAAACAGAGCTGTTGTTCCGTGGCCCAGAAACTAGTTTCCAACTAAAGTCACAAGTAAGAAGTTTACCACGACTACCACAGATTAGCGTTTCACAGTGAAGCTCTGCACCACAAAAGAAAACGTATATACTTCCTGAGTACCAAACTGCAAAGAAAACCAATAAATACAAATAATTGAAATGAAGCTGTGAAAATTTGTGACAACCACCGTAATGTTAGGTAAATATCAACGACAAGAACATATCTATAGGAGATAAAACTCAGATTTTATAAATAATCTACAGTTTACTTCTTAAAATACTGACAAATTAAAAAGGAGCAAAAATTAATTTCTACAGCTTATATGTACATATTTACACAAGTTCCGCGGTTAAAGAAACACGATTGGGAAGTATTTACTTAAATGACTGTATAGTATATGGGCTGGCAATAGGTTGGAAATAATCAGAAGGACAACGACACACTAGTTTACAACAACGCAGATCCCTCAGTACATCTTCTTCCATACCTATAAAACTAGGAAGTAAGAAAAAACCAAATAACCTATTATATAATCTGATGGTCGAAATTCTTCATCCCTGCAACCCGAAGTTGGGATCAACCAAGTTAAGAAGCAGCAACTATCACCAAACAAATCAGTGGCCAGTCCTGATACTTACATCAATAAAGACTTATTACCTCTTATTTGGGCATAGAAAACTTCACCATCAACATCCAATAGCGAAACTATATCGCCCACATGATACCAAACATTCTAGAAATAAGACATAACTAAGATTAAAGCAACCTCATGGTAGACACAATTGCGAAGGCTAATAAGAGCTGGAGGGTTTCCCAATTTTTGCGTCTGGTGGACACTAAGAAATCAATATACAAACTACCTCTCTTTTAAGTACATGACGTCGGGAACGTGATTTTTGTGCGGTTCCTTTACCATTGTAGTTACCATACAATCCTCTACTTCTGTTTGATAAAACTCTGGATCTCATAGACTTCCTTGTTTGAGATGCTGGTTTTATTTTCGGCAGACCAGAAACAAGACTGGATTCACTTCCAAGCTTTTTACATCGAGTCCTTGTTAGTGTTCGGACAGACGTCTGGGAAGTTCCATCGGAATTAGACGCCTCTGATATATCTGGAACACCTACTACGTAAACTAGAGTATAGTAAGTACTTCGAGCTTCCATATCGGCATCAGCAGCAACCTTCTGGCTATCAAGACACTGAAGCATAATCAAAATATAGTACCGCAATTGTTGAAAAATCACGATTCAGCTTCCTCAATTTTCAGTCTTTGGAAGAGACACTACGAAACTCAATTAAATTTTGGAGGAACTAAAATAGATTGAAAAATTTAATGTCTTCATTACGATCGAGCGTAAATCAACGAATTTTTCCACTCACGAGTCTTGATGTTGAAGAACACTGAAAGTCATAACAGATCAGATGAAATTGAGTTTGTTCACAATTAATTCAATCAATTCATTTTATTAACTTAATAACGAACTGAGTCATCCGAACAACAACTTATCTATATCATTGTATCTTCAATACTATTGTGAATGTATGAACATATCGTGACTTACTTTTATCACGAGAACACGATTGGTTTAATGAAAACAATTATTATTACCAGTGACTGTTTTAACGTGCTCTTTGTTTAACCGTGCTAAAAACATCCATTATACTTACTTCGATCGTGACCTCGTGCGAATCGGGTTACGCTCAGTAACCAAGCTTGTATCCTGGCACGATCTCGGTATCCTTTCGATACCACGAGATCGCCAGCAAATATATCTCGACTTAGTCCATTAACTGCCTTCTGATATTTGGCTTCCGAGGGATTTTGTCGATATTCTGGCACGCGTTCCTTTGTAGTGGTATTCATAGTCAATCTCGACTCGACTCCACGCTACAACTGGTGAGTCGAATTCTGGAACACACCGCAACCTCTGGTCCAATCGCCCAAAGAAGTCAATTCGGTGAGTCCATTGTTAATCTATCCACGTCTGTCGTATATTTTCATATTATTTTTTAATATATAATATACTCGACATGATGGATAAGGATAAGAGTAGTATTGATATAATAGACTCCCATGTATGTGTACCGAATCCTTGGCACTTTTTATTCGCGTGACGACAAATTCCACGCTTTAATCGAGAAAGTTTTCCCCAATAACAATTCTCCTCACTGACCCGGCTGCTTGGTGCTGAACGCATACGCATAAGCATTACCGTCTACCACCCAGCACCAATTGGTTCAAATGGTTCAAATGGTTGTGGACGGAATAGAAGAAGCTTTCGCTTAACAGGCTTCCGTGTCTAGTAGCAGGGGATCACCAAATCCTCCAGGCAAGAACCTGGGTATTTCAACAATAAAAGAGGAAAAGAAATTGGTAAATCATAGTGTGATGCTGTCCTTGGTCCTTAAGAATAGGTCAAGTTGCCTCTTGAAGGACTCCTGAGAAGTCGCTTGGACTAGCTCGGCTGGTAGCGAATTCCAGATTTTGACAACTCTTAAGGAGTAGAAGTTGTGTCTACATTCCATCTTGCTATGTTGTGTTTCCAGTTTCTGGGTGTTACCCCTTAGGTTATTATTCGAGGATGTCCAGAAGTGTTAAGAATGCTATAAGCCATCAATAAGTCACCTCTAAGACGCCTATACTCTAATGGGTAAAGGTTCAGTGAATGGAGGCGTTCTTCGTAAGGTTTAGATTTGAGTCCTCGAACTGATTTCGTGGCTCGACGTTGGATACGCTCCAAAGTGACCTTGTCCTTTTGGAGTGAGGGAGGGAGTACTATGTTGCCGTACTCTAAATGGGGACGGATGAAACTATTGAAGATTGTATGGAAAGTTCGTCCGTCAAACTGTCCAAAAATGCGCTTCAACGTTACCAGTGCAAGGTTTGCTCGGAAGGCATTTTTGTCACAGTTAGCGTAAGACTTCAAATCATGGGGCACCAGGACTCCTAAATCTTTTTCGACTTGGGATACTACTAGAGAGGAGTTTCCTAAGTTGTAACTGTAGTTTGCAACATGTCGCAGATGGACTACTCTACACTTTGAAGTGTTAAAGGTAAGTCCGTTATCGTCTGCTCAACTTTGAAGTCGAGTCAGAACCTCCTGAAGTGCCTGTATATCATACAGCAACACTTGGGTTGCTCGGCTTAGGCAGTGATGCCTGGTTCTTTCGGGCTCTCTTAACGTGGGTCGAATCACCTACAGGGTTTTTGGGAACCACTGTTGTGTTCAGGGACCCTTAGCTGGGAGACCCGAGTTTGCTTAAGGAGTCTAGTACCGTCGACGTAATGATGGTGCTGAGCCTCGACACGTCATCATTAGTGTTGACGGATGCTTCATCGGTGGTATACCTATCGTCATCCCTATTTTTGTATCCGTCGCACGCTCTTGTTTGTCTACCGGTTTTTTTACTATCGTTGTCCAAGTTAACTGACAACTTGTTCCGAAGACCTGCCAGTAGGACAATGATGTTACTCAGCAAGACTACAGCGTCCGTGCTGCACGTGACACACACCCACTTTTTCTCTGACTTGCTGAGTCTGTTGTAAGCAGTTGCTGTCAGATCTGTGCATGCTTCGTGGAACCAACATTTGCAGTTGTCGCACTGCATGCCAGTTGTAACAGCGAAACGGCATCCCGGACGTTTGCATGAGTTTTTCATGACTGTGTTGAAGCAAACTATGTTATAGATGCTTGCAAAAGCCTAAGACCTTTAAAAAAAATACTAAAAAGCACACTGAAAACGGACAAAAATAGGTAAAAACGAGTGATATAAACTGAAACTAGTCTATACGTGAAAAACAAAAAAAACCGAATAGTAAGCTGAGGCAAAACCACAGGTAACTATTAAATATGGTGAAACTAAAAAAAGTAATCTACCGAACGTATAGCTCAGGATAGATTCTTTAGAACTGAAATGGTACTTTTGTTGCGTAAGAACACAGCAAAAGTTTGATGTATGCAAATCACGTTAGGACTAAACTTCCCGTTCGAAAAGCGCGCGGTGATGGTTCCAACCTTTAAGTGTTTAACCAACATCATAATCATACTCAACTATTGTATACATGTATGCAGTTATCCTTTCCATTCACACTTTTTTTCTTTTTTCACAAAAGAAACTTGTTGGAATACCTCGTGCTGGGAATGTAGTGAACAGAACACCGGTGAGGACAATCGAATCGGTTTCATTGCCAACTTAAAAGTGCTCTACGAGCACACGAAAACGACAACTGGTAAGAAACCTTACCGCTCGTCCTCTTAGGCATCAGGACGGGCTTGAACGCAGATATCCAATGTTCCACCGCTGAACTTGTATACGGCACGACATTGAGTCTGCCCGGAGAATTCTTTACACCACGGAGCAGACCTAATTTCGGTAAATCAGACTACGTCCATCGACTGTCTGCATTTATGCGAACGCTGTCTCCGGTGTCAACTCGAATACAGCATCGACAGGTCGCTCTCCCTCGAGAGTTATCTACCTGTTCACATGTTTTCATACGAGTAGGTTTGGTACACTAAACTTTGCAACAACCTTACGAAGGCCCTTTTCGCGTGATCGCTCGTCACGAAAAGACCTTCAAGGTTGATCGACATGGTTGCGTCGAGATCGTCAGCACTGATCGTCTCAAACCAGCACACGTCGATGACAGTGCCCTATCTGATAACCTGAGATTCAATGCTAGACCTATCAAACCTACTAGCGGGATCCTCAAACCATCTTCAGGTCCCATGCTAGATACACCTGAGACCTCATTCTCACGTCCCAGTCAACAGCACGCGTCATCTGCACCATTTACGGACGAGACTTCAGTCTCACGTCCAAATATGAAGGCCACGCCGCCTTTGACTTCGGATGAGATTGCAGGCTCACGAAATACGAACGGGACTACCGTCTCACGTTCCGGTCGCCAAGTGAGGTTACCCACACGTTTCCGCGACTAGCCGCACAGTCGACAACGGATACGATGTAGGACTATTCCTATACTACATGCATGCTACACTCCTTTTTCTTTTTGATTTTTTTCTGTATCCTGAGCCCACGCCTCCGACCATCTCCATTTGGTACCGTTGACTTCAGTCAATTTTGGCGAAAGCTGGACTGGCCACCCACGCTCTTGTCAACGCACTCTGTCGATATTTTGGTTTCGAATGTTTGGCATCCGTTTAGTCTCGAACTTGATCATCATGGTCGCTTCTGGCTTCTCGGCTCAACGTGGTTTCTTCTTAATGCCCTTTTTGTAATATCGTTGCTTGTGTTGTACGATCAAAAGAGTGGCCATAGTGCCTGGATAGAAGAATACAGTGATCCACATTACACACGTATTAACCGCATGCTGTGACTTTGATATAAGCTAAGATATTACGCCTCACATCAAACATGAGTAAGCTGCCAATCATCGGTGTAGACCACCTACATTGGTAATCTACATCCACCGAGTCCGTATATGTCCAGGACTACTATCTTTTCTGAATTTCAATATGGCTTTTTATCCTGTAGAATATTAAATGCTAACCTGAAATAGTTACGCACTATCACTCAAAACAGAAAGCCTGTTCTTAAATTCCTGCTAAACTTTTCCTAGACATTCTATACAATGGATCGTAAACTACCATAATTAAAACTAAAGTATAAGGGTGCTGGTGAGTGTTTGCTTATTTGGTCACATGGTTATCAATTTCACCAAGAGGCTGCAATTGAGCGGAGTTGTTTCCTTTTTTCAAAGTATCTGTCATTAAAATGAGGGTCCCACGAAATCCTATACACAGTCAACATTTATTTGACCAGTCTTCTAACTTCTTGAACTACTTCAACTTCTAGATATTTGTTCTGCATGAATTATTCTAATATTTTCCTGCTGGTAGGAGGTCCAGCGTCATTCAGAGAAATTTAAACATGAAGAGGAAACTAAAATCGTATTTGTGTAATATATTAGTAAATGTTTAATCCTATGAATGGATAATTATGGTACACCAAGCTCATATTTTAGGTGTGGTACAATATCCACACGTATTTGAATTATCGTATAAACTAGGAATCCAGAATTAACGCAACTGAATTAAAAAGTAATATACAAGCACAAACGAATGTATTGTATTTGGAATTTGAAATCAAGCATTCAACAAGTACAAAAGTATCATTAGTTCGTTCAAACACCACATCCGCCACAGCTTAAATTGGAGTCTAGATGTTTGTAATCAATCGTACGTCTTCTCAAATTCATCCTGAGTTTGTCTGAGATTGTATTGGATAAGGATTCTGCATTATCTAGAATGTGCTCATCAGCATTAGAATTAACAACCGAAATCGGAACTAACTCACCTGGTTCCTGAAATTGTATTTGATCAACATGTTGACTGTGTGTACTTAAGTCACTGATATCTAAAATTCGGACCATCGATTTTCCGACGTTCTTCAGAACAACACCCGTAGATGGTCGAAGATCATTTCCTCGATAGTATGTAACTTCTGCAGACTCCAAACTTCTCATATTCGACCGAAGAATTCTTCCT